TACTTTAGTGCTAGTTAGATACGGATACAGTATTAATCTCGTTGACTTTATCTATATAATAAAATAACAGAATTATAGAAATACAGATCACATGACTAATGTAAGTTAAAGTCTCCCTTTTGTTATATTATAACTGACTTGATTCCGGGAAAAAGCATCATATTTGGCCAACTTCTTATTGAAAGCTGTGTATGAACGTCACGACCATAATGACTATATTAATATGTGATTGTAACGATTATATGCGAACATAATAGATACCGAAGCTCTTGTAAACATTAGACGTAAACCGTTCCTTGAGTTCTGCCATCGTTCTATTAATCGTATGAATTTATTTAACAGCTAATTAGATAATAACATCGAAATCATAGATTATTAATTGCGGACAAGATAAAGGCCGACCAGGATTATGAAGCTAAATAACGAATGCTTTTTTGCAGGAGGCTTTGTTATAATTTCGTTAGAAATTTGAGAACCAGATGACAGTGACTCATCGGAACGGGACTTTTTGGGACCGAAGGAAGTTGGCTTTCTGCTAAAGGAAAAAATTTGATATTAGTTCAAGGAATATTAGTTTATTGTCCACTAATTACTTACTCGCTTATAATAGTAATAGTATATTACACCGGGTAATTTTCTGGGGATTGTCTAAAACGTGACTTTTGCCGCAGATGTATCCACCAACCGATCTATCAAAACGGGAACTCTTTTGATGTGTCAAAAACGAAACTTTTGCCTCCCTTCTACTACGGTCACACTCCCATACAGTTACGGATTTATCTGTGTGACTGTAGGGGTGGTTGACTTATTAGGATCCTGATGCTTTCCTCTGGCCTGAACTTATGATTTTAAATAAGGTTGGATTCAAATATGCACACATGTAAGATATTGCTTTAGCCGTAGGAGAAAGCTTTTTATCATTTTCCCTATGTTGTTACTATTGGCGTGAGGGTAATTCCGCAAAAGTGGGTTCTGATTTCCACATTGAATGATTAAAGATGATATTAGGGAGGGATAAAGTCTTATCGAATGCCTAGCACTCCAATTTTAGCATGGCCGCCTCATCTTACCATCTCTCTGAGTCGATCCAATTAATACTATTCTCTGTTATTAAGAGAACGCATTCCTGGAAGCCTGATATGAAGTAGAGGAAGAATAACAAATATCCGGTTGTGAATTTAATATATATAATACATATACGTGCGTACTCTGTGAATATTCTAAGCCTTTATCTTGTCACATTTCCGTGTCTCACAAAAACGTATGATGACTGGGCGTTGTGCACGTGCACCAAATCTGTTCCTTATTTCCAACGCGTTGCGTTAGCGGCTGAAGAAACGTTCAGTTGTTGGTCCAAACGGCTGGCGTGGTGACGGTTGGACAGCATGTTTTATGAGCTGGAGCAAACATTCCTTTAAAAAAAAAAGCCGATGATAATCATTATTGGAATTCAACCGCAGGTATGAAGACAAGTATTGTTCATAAAATGCACAAAGAAAATATGTTGACAGCATGCAGTATTAGTATTATGTTTTTGTTTATTTTCTCTGATACCCTATCCGAACTTATTTGTTCCATTTAACTTCTTGTTTTGGCTCAATTCAACGTAAAATAGACTAAGTGCACCCGTCTTACGTCTGATATACTAATATATTAAATTCGCTCAGATATCTCAATTATGTTCACATAAAAAACTTGGTGAACGGTATGTAAGAATATTTGCTAATTTACAGTCGGGAAACACTGGACTAGTTGATCGATAGTAGCGCGGTGTCTGACTAGGTCCCATCTAATTCTGAAGTTTCGTACACGTATTGGATGATCACTTATGCCGCTATCATAAGACCTCATTATATTTGACTATCGATTTTAGGATTGTCCACAGTGAGTAAAATATAACATTATCAGTCTTTATTCTTTCAATGCCGTTACTCACCAAACGTCAGATTTCAGGGCAATATTTTAATAGATGACCGATGAGAACGGATCTTAGTCTCTCACGGACCGACCAAGTCGTGGTTCCTTCCACTAGCTCTTCAAAATATATGGCTTAGCGGCGTATACGGCCCCGGAAAGACTTAAAGATTCTTCACTGCCTTTTGACGAAATGTGACATTTACTCACCTGTAGTAGTATGGGATCAGGCCAAGACCATTTAAAGAACAAACAATGTCATTGGAGTGAACATAACAATGGTTTGGAGGGAGAAATTTGAAAAGGTATATACCTCTGCCGAACAAGGAATTATATATAAAAAGATGGTGGGGAAAAAATTCAACCTGTTCGTGTGATATGTCGATTATAGAAACCAAGTTTACACAATTCGAACACGATTTATAAAGATCTTGTTCTATAAGGCCGCGATGTAGACAACTGTATCTGATTTCAAGTAAGTAGATAGTAGCGCCGAGTGCCGAACATGATATACGTTTACTAATCAATTTGGTATTTTAGCAGAACCAGTTGCGGATAACGCCCAAAAATTCAATCGGCCCAATACGCATACACAGGGCTCGCAATCGACTATTTGCTCCCAAACATTGATAACTGACGAAGAGGGTGGATTTTGCCGAGTTTGTGTTTGTGCGGTGCGAAGACTGGTTGTGTGCCAATTTACAAGTTGACGTAACAAATACAAATCTTGGTCGACGTGATCGCTGAAGGTTGTGTTCTGTCAATTAGAAACCACAACTGCCGAAAAGCTTGTGGCGTCAGCATGCTGGATATAAAGAAAGGGCTTTGATATTATCGGACCGATCTCTGTATTGGGTCAAGTCTCGGTAGGAATCCATCAGAGTTAGCTGATGGTTTGTGAAAAGCATGAGCAAATATTCATGGAAATGATATATCTTTTTCGTCTCCTCTTTTATAGAGCTCACGGATGTCTGTCGCGTCGACTCTGTCCGAAGATTGAACTTTGATTATAGCTCCAACTACTTTCATTGTATTACATGCCAAATATCCATTCTGTCAGGATTAAATACTTGTAATAGCAGTCAGGGAGTGCTATGCGGAAAGTCAGTCAATACGCAATCACTCCACTTTGTCATGATGATTCCTGGTAGACGGTAAATAATAATTATTATGGTTTACGTAATTACATGTCAAATTTTATTTGTCTCCAACGCGGCGTCCGCTTGTTGTGCATTCTTGCTCCTTTCATGACAGACAATAACCTGCAGTAGGCCTGTGGAAATAACTGTACTGGTTGATTAGATGAAAGGAAAATTCGTTTTCTTATCTAGAAATCAACACGGAATCATTGTATAAGCACATTGCCATCTTCACCTCTTACCACAGCTTTCTGCTTCAATTATAGATTCACGTTTCCTCTGATTCTGAAGTTCAGCATGTATTGTCCCTTGTGCAGGCACGACCAAGTAATGCTCAATAAAATTGCTGCGTTATTGCTCAAGAAATCTGGCAAGCACTGCTAACAGTCTTCTGCTCGTGTAGCATTTTACAATCCTATGCCGCCTCCATTTCCATCGGCTAATACTATGCGTGGGTGGTGGCTTTAGTTCTGCTGTTCGAATTAGTCGTAGCTATGCTTTCATGGCTGCTGAGTGAGATAATGGACTTCTCATATTAGACTTTATTTTGTAATGGATGAAACTTAAACAATCGGTTAATTTGCATCGCGAATGCATGTGTAGTTCATCGTATTTGAGACAATCATACTATGAATATTCCTTGAATGGCTGTCAGTCAGCTCCCACTGCTTATTGATCTGTTTGTTGGGATTGGTGCGAGTTAAAAATCCGAAACAATCGGAATTTAAGCTTGCACACACGCAATGGTTACATCAACGTAATAATGAGCAGTTCGACATATTAGACAATCTGATACGCGCAATTGCATCACACCCAAGCAATGCGGATGAACTAATACAGGGGTCCCGAAGTAGATTTTGGGACTTGAATCATAAACAAAAGCCACAAGACATACGAATCTCAGATGATACATTCGAAACAATTGTTACTAAGATTGAGATCCAAACCACATTCGGAATTTTGCGTTCTATTAGACACGGCTTGCGCTGAACTTTAAGCGGCGTTGCGAGATATCTGTATTTAAAATCTATTTAACCCCATCGTTTTCCTAGTCAACGCGACTCTTAAATTCCACACATTAATTATGATGTATTTACCTTCAATGTATACAGTCGTCCCTCTCTACCGTCGGTTCTCCTGAAACCTGTGACCGTAATAGTAAGGAGGCCTATACAATCCCAGGATATATGCAATTCATTGTGCTTATATAATAATAAAGTTTTCTCCTTAATTATGCCATGCCCGATCGTCTGCTCCACCCAAGCCATAACTTTTTCTAGGAATGGAAATTTAACATTACGCTGCCTGACAACACTCATCGTGGACAAGATCTTGCTTAGTGTAGACCAATCTATATTAATACTATACTTATTATTGAAATAAGATGCTTGTGTTATTATCGTTGAGTAAATGCAAATCTCGTGCCGTAAAGCATTAGTGATTTGAGTTCTTGTTCTTCACGTGATGTATCGTGTATTTATTGGTTACTGAAATTGGGGGAGGGACCCCTCGCGTATATAGCGGCTTTGTTTACTATTACCTTGCTATCACTATCAAAACTCGTAGAATATATTACCATGTCTGTTAGCCAAAACGAACAAACTCCGTCGTATAGACGACCTGGCTTCGGTGATGAATGCCGACAGAGCTCGAAAGAACGAAGGACGAGAGTCCTTACGAACATGTTCGAGCTGAAAACGGACTCGAACCTGACCACTTTTCACCAATACATTATGGATGTCAAGCGCTACTCGATGCGCGAAGACGAAGACGCTCGCACCGAACCTCTCACCGGTGCATCCAACGACAATAAACGTCTTCGAAGACGTATATTTGCCACGTTTCAAAGGAGACATCAGGACGACTTTTTCAGAAACGTTGGCGTTGCGTATGACGGTGGCTCCAATGTCTTTACAACTGGACAACTGACTCTTAGTGGGAACAAGCAAGCCAACGAGCTCATCGAGTTGGAAGATGACCACGACCGTGCTGGAAACCCAAACGAGTTTTATATCGAGATCAGAGAGAACAACAACCAGCCGACGATCTCGCTTGACGATCTGAAAGTTGTCTTGTTGGGTGACACTTTCGAATGGACCTTTTTCAACAACTTAGGACTGAAAATGCTCAATGCCTTTTTGCACCATAACCCTGCCTTACGATACGTACAATTTGGTGAATCAATCTTCGTTCCCGAAAGCAGGAAGTCGCTTGGAGGGGGTGTGGACTTGTGGCAAGGGCTTTTCGCAAGTGTTCGACCAGGAGAAGGTGGCGGAAGAGGTAAATTGAAAACTATCGATATGTTTAGTTGAGTAGCTATAAGGTCGTAGGTTGAACTTGTAATAATATGTGTTGATTTCTCTATTCTAAAAATAGGAAAACTATTTGCAAATGTAAACGTCACCAACATTACTGTTTATGAACCAGTTGATCTGGCTACGTGGCTATGCAACTTCCTAAATCTCAAGCAAGTTCCAACGAAACTTGAAAATAATATGCGTGAAAATGTAAATAGTGTCTTGAAGCATATCAAAGTCCATCCTCTTCATCGTCCAGATTGCAAGACAAAATATACTGTTGCTAAACTTGCTGATGTAACTGCAAATGAGTACAAGTTTCGAAACAACAAGTCCGGAAAAGAAGAGACAGTTGCAGATTACTTCAAGGCAGTTTATAATATAAAACTCAAATCTCACCATATGATTGAAACTGTTGGCTCAAGAAAGGACCTGATCCCAATTGAATGCTGTGGCATTGTTGAGGTAACATATTTTCAAGCAATCTAACAAACTGCTATTAGCAAAGAAGATTGTTAATATTCTCTTCTTAATCATAGGGTCAGCATTATAAAGGCAAACAATTGACTGGAGAGCAACGTGCTAATATGATTAAAATCACTGCCAAGCACCCTAACAGTAACAAATCAATTATCTTAGATGGTATTAGGAATGTATTATCACTCAACCATGACAAACTGCTTCAATTAGCTGGTATATCAGCCAATACACAGATGGTCTCTGTACCCAGTCATTTCAAGAAAATGCCAGAAATCATGTATTCACCATTATCTAAACAAGGTGCAACAGTCAAACCAAAATCTGATAATGGTGCATGGAATCTTCGGGATGTACAATTTATCAATCCTGGTGAGGAATTGAACAGTTGGCTTGCCATTTCCTTTTTGCCAGATAGATTCATAGATCAAGCCAGAACATTTCTCAGGGATTTAGGAAATCAAGCCAGAGTTCAAGGTATGAAAGTTGCACAAAACCTTCAGCCAAGAGTTGCATCTATCAGATGGCAGAATGACAGACAGACTCGTGGTGAGATCATTAAAATCCTCCTGAATGCAAAAAAGTCAGATTATGGGTTGCCCCAACTGGTTGTATTCATTATTGAAGCTGAACACCGTAACCGTACAGTGAATGCTGACCAATATAATGTTGTCAAAACAGTCATGGATACAGAAGTTGGAATCCTGTCTCAGTGTGTTCAATCACCACATGTTATGAAGATAAATAAGCAATATCTTGCAAATGTTGCTCTGAAACTTAATTTAAAACTTAATGGCACAAACTCATTTGTTAAACTCCCTCGAATTGATAAAACCCCTATGATGCTTATTGGTGCTGATGTCACTCATCCACAGCCTGGTTCAAACATGCCATCAATTGCAGCAGTTGTAGGATCTGTTGACAGACATGCTGCTCGGTATGTGGAGAGACATGTACAACAATACAAAGAACCAACTACTGGCAAAAAGACTGGTCGTGGCAAAGAAGAAATTGATACAATGACTGACTTGGTAGTTGAACTCTTACAGGAATTCAAGCGCATCAACAGACTATTGCCCAGAGTCATTATTATGTTCAGAGATGGTATTAGTGAAAGTCAATTTAAACCATTGGCATTGGATAAAGAACTTCATTATATTAAGGCTGCATGTGCCAAGGTGGCGCAGGATTATAAACCAACAATTACCTATATTGTTGTTGGCAAAAGACACCATACTCGATTTTATCCCACAGATCCAATGGATGCCGATAGAAATGGCAATGTGAAACCTGGACTTATAGTTGAGCGAGAAATTACCCATCCATATCTCTTTGACTTTTATCTTACCTCTCATTCTAGTCTTCAGGGAACATCTTGTCCCTGTCATTACCATGTTCTTTTTGATGAGAACAACTTTCAGGTAGATGAAATCCAAGATTTCACCAACAGACTGTGCTATAACTTTCAACGCTCAACTAGAGCAGTTTCCATTCCTGCACCAACTTACTATGCACATTGTGCAGCAAAGAGAGCACGATCTCATTTCAATAATGGAAATTTACAGATGACTAAACCAGAGTTTGCTAGTTGTTTCCTGATGTATTATGTTTAAGAATATGTTATGTTATATATGTGTTTTTTTCAAATTAGCAATTTTGACATATATGGTATGGGTGTATTAGTATATGCAAAACATATCAATAAATGATGAGTATTAAGTATGTTTGTGAATCTGATTTAACTTTGTCCTTTTTTTTGTCTACACATAAATATTGCATCTTACTTGGAGAAGCAGAATACTTCATGAAAACTTTTGCAAGTCAGTAACTACTAAGCTTTACAAAGAGTCTACTTAATACAATTTTACTCTTTATTCAGTGTAAGGCACACTAGTAAGCTACATATGAATAATGATATGGATAATCATATTGATTTGCTTATTTTGGCTTAGTCATAATAATAATTAGGTAGTAGTACAGTCGGACCCCGTTATAACGAAATGCGTTATAACGAATTTTTGTTATACCGAAGCAAGGGTTACTTTCCCT